CGACGACAAAAAGGAATGCTGATGTGGCTGGTTGACTGTGTGTTTGTGTGCACGGAGAAAATTTGGCGCGAGTGGCGGGTGGTGGAAAAAGAAGAAGTTGAAGGAAGCCTGGAGGTGACCGAACAGGACAAGCGAGCAGGATCTGGTGGACCAAAAAACCGACTTGCAACGATAGGCGTGGTCGGCACGGCTTCAGTTCGTCGTCCACAAACACAGGCCTGGTCAGCGGGCCTCCGAGGCTGCCCTGCCGCTACTTCAGGCCACACTCTTCAAGCCACCCCGTCGTCCACTACCCAGCCCCAATGCGCCCATCTACCTGGCATCAAGACTTCGGCGTGTCAACCATGATCAGAACTCAGACCCGCTTCACGGACTATGTGAAGTACTCCTCTTTAATTACCCTTTAAGTGTTAGATTTTCCGATAATTAATTTTTTTGAAGTTTCTCATTTTCTAGTGTTTAACGCTTTAATATATTTTTGTACTGGCCCAAAGATGTCGTCTCTTTGTCCATGCTCTTCGCGTCGCACACCCACGCAAGCGTGAACGCGGTCCTCTACAAGCCACTACGAAAAGGTGATGATCTTAGATTCATGATGTACAGTCAAACCCACTTATAACGATCCCAGTTATAACCTATCGGTTATAACGACCAGCTTTCAGAAAATATACAAACTCAAGGCCCTACCCATTACAACTGGTCCTGATAAAACAACTGTCTTTCAAAGCATCACACTGTTACAATAAACACAAAATCCGCCTTAAAAAAAAAAAAAAAAAAAAAAAAAAAAAAAAAAACTTCCTGCGCGCGCGAAAGGAAAAAGAAATTAAAACAGCTACATTTCGGGCGCGAGGCTCCGGGAGACGCTTGAGGTCATTTCCATGGCTGCACGGCAGGGGAGAAAACAAAACTACAAAAGCAAAAACGCCCTCCCGGGTTGCGTAGTCTGCCGATTGTGGATTGTGCGTGCCCGGGAAGGAGAAGAGGAGGAGAAGGACGAAGTCAACTCTCACACCGTGCTGCCTTCTATATTCAAACGCTAGCCTCATCATCATCGTGACAGTTTGTTTACGTTCGCCATTTTGGTATTCATATCATGCATGTTCTCTCACGTCTACGGACTCATGTCTGTCGTTTTAAGTTGGGGAAAAAGAAAAAAGAAAAAATCTACTAGGAAGTTCTATTTATACAAAAGGGCATCATTCTGGCGAAGAAAGATAACAACGGAGCACTGTGTGGCCTCGGAATCCCAGCCACCCAACAAGCTCGCAAAGTGTTTGAAAGACGACCCTGACAGGGGCAACAGCCATGCACTCATACATGCGCAGGAAGCGTGGCACTTAAAACGCTTTAGACCAAAGCAAGTATTAATTACCTCTGTAGACAGCGAAGAACCTTCGTCTAACTAGTGCACGGCATTTATTTTTGTGTTAGCGAGCGTTTCATAAAATCTGTTCTATGAGGTATGTGGTCAATCTTCTTTATTTTGCTTGCGCGGTAGAATCGGCAGATTTACTTTTGAATTATCTGAAAGCTAAATCTGCCTTCATGTTACAATTGTGCAAACAGTTTCTTTAAATAAATAGTTGGCAGAGTGAAACTAACAATACCAGCATCATTATTCTTATTTATAATGTTTTAAAGGTAAGTCCAGATGTAACAAACAATTGATAAAACGACCACTTTTCGTGAAACTATCGCGTTCGTTATAAGTGGGTTTGACTGTATAGAGTCCTATTTGTCTAAACGCTAAAGACTTGTTGTTTGTCGTCGACAGGGACGACGTAGATGCCAAGTGTGGACAATGCTCCAGGTGTGGAGCCTAGTCTGCAGCATAGGAGTAACAGGGGATACCAGGACTTGTAGCCTGCTTGACCTTTGTGAGATAACGAACGAAAAAAGCGTACGTGAAGCAGCTCGCAACGCAGGCCGTTCAACATTCTTCGAGGGTGATCTCCACTGAGATAACCTTTGAAAAACCTTCGTGCTCTTTGCAAAAAATAGCTCATCGGGTATGGGGTAAGGGACGGAACAGACATGACCATTTCTTTGCTTCGGTGCTGTACAAATACAAGCTGTCCTCAAAACGCAATCCTAAAACAAATCCGGATTCCGTCTGATCATAGGGAACTGACTGTCGTCGACACTGTAGGTTAGATATGCTGTGTTATTTGAGATCTTTCTCAAATACCACATTTACTAACATAATGAAGGCACTCGAATACTGAAAGCACCCCCACACAAAAGCCATCAATATTTGGACTTTTTCTTTTATTTGGTCTCATTTTTAATTTTCAGCTTCGCGAGCCATGAACTGTGTCCAACTTAGCTAGCTGGCTAGCCACCAAGCCTGCCAATTTTCTTTTGCTGCCAAGTGGCCAGGCCAAATCAAGGCAAGGCAAGCCAAGCAGCTCTTGTAATGGCTGCAGTTGCAAAGTAGAAGTGATTAACCGTGAAACTAAGTGGCGCGCATGCCTAGCATGCGCGCCACTCTATTGCCCAGCCTCGGACGTGCTTCGTCCATCGGGTGCATTGATGTCAACAAACACGCCACTGTCTGTGATCCGCTTTCGAGCAGTGATGTCGTGAAAGAGGTTAGGCCTAAGAACGGTTGCGTCGCTCTTCATGCTGAGTGAGCTTCGTAGGGCGCTTTTTCTTCGCCAAAAGGCACGCCGAAAGCGCACTAAAAAAGGTTTGCAATTTATAGAGCATGATTACCCTGCCATGTCATATTGGCACCTAAAATGACATTTGTGCAAAGTGCGTAAATGCAAAAATTCTACCTTGCGTAACTTTTTCAGGAAAAAAAGTGTGTTCATTATGCGAGTAAATACGGTAAACCCTGTTCAGACAACAAAGCACTGTCGGGTATGTAATGCTGTTAGATTGATGAGACTTGTTGAATTTCATGTTGTGAGCGGGAAACACCCACGCTTTTTGGCTATCTTGTCTGGTCAAATATTTTCGAGAGTTACGATCTTCGTGGAATGACACAACTGAGTGTTTGGCGACGTGAAACATCTGCATAAAATAAAACAAACATTCCAGTTGCATTTGCTCTGTCACTCACAAGTTGTCCTTTGTTTGTTTTTCTTCTAAAAAATGGAGAATGATTTCGGCATTTTCTACAAAAAAAGAAATACGACGCAGAAATTTAGCTGCTAGCAGTGTTCGGAATCGTGCCTATGCAGGCTGCCACAGCCAACTGACGAGCAAACCTAGAGCAAAGCGCAGTCAGGCAACACTGATGTATACTCACAAAACCCGGGACGCGCGCTGTAAATCGACTCATTCGAAACTGCCGCTGGGAAGGTGTGCTATATACCAGGTGCAGACTATAGTAAAAAAAAAATATATGAGAGATTTTTTTGTTTTGACTTTCCCGTAGGTTGTAAGTTATAGGTTGTCTGGATACGTAGAAAAATAAGCATTAAATCAGATTTTCCTTCATATATCAGATAGATCCCTCATACAGTAGGCTCATATTAATTCAAACTCAGACATTTCGTACTCCTGGTTAATCCAAACAAATTTCAAAATTTCAGTTGTCTTGCTATGCTGTCAATGTATTCATATGCCACTTGACTCGAACGGCACTTTTGTAGAATTCATACTTTTTTGCTCTCGTGGCCCCGTTGAGCATGCTTCTTAATGAGCACCGGTGCACTGCAGAGAAGCATGCTTAAAGGGGTTAATAGTCCAAAGTAGACAACCTTTTTCTTGCTGAATGAAAAAACTTAATTTTATTTTGAAGTGTCATTTGCTGTGTAAACAGTCCATGATAGACAACATTTTTGAGGGATGAATGAACTTATCTCATACATTTCACCAATGTTTGATGTTTTTTTTTTTTTTTCACCTGCTTATGATTACTATGCCTGTGTAGAGGAAATCATCAAATGTCTACTTTGTATGTGTAACTAATTACAAAAAAAAAAGAAGAAATATATATATATATTTTGCATTATATTTAGATGAATTTCAGATAATTTGAACTTCCGATAATTCAAACAAAACTCATGGCTTCCTGGAGTTTGAATTAATTAATCTACTGTATATCAGACAGCTGCAGAGCAATGATGCTGAAGTCATAATTTCAGCCCTTCACGTTACTGTCAGTAAGTGTCCAATACGGGGAAGGGAGTGGCGGAATGATGCCGATCAACAAATCAGGCTGATCCCTCTTTCCTGCTCAAACAAGGACAAGGAACCTTGCACTTTTCGAAACATTCATGGAAGAACAAAGGAAAGTTCTGCTACTGATGGTACCTGAGTCTCTTTCTTTCACTAGCAGCAAACAGCATGTTGTGTGCTGGCACGGAACCGCGCATCCGAGACTGCCGCCACGCCCCATGACGCGCTGAAAACGCTCGACTGTGCAGATATCTGGAGATTCCAGTTATCCACAGATTTACCCAAAGGTACATAGATAGCCAAATAAATTTATAAGCGCGGTAATACTGTCACGGAAGAAAAGCAACAGACAAATATAAAATTTAAAACAAACGCCTAATAAGATGAAGTTGTGCTTACAAACTTAAAGAGAAAGGTACGAGCATCTTGCGTCGGCGACGAAACGGCAAGTGTCACGAAGCAGCGTGTAAGCGCTGTTCTTATACACTCAATATGTTTGGGAAGGTTCCGAGCCAAGATACGCTGTGCAGAAGCAAGAGTCGACTGGTGCTCTCCAGAAGAGCAGAGGTTCATAAAAAAAAGAATTGAACTGAGAGGGATTTGAATTGAACATCGTTGCTTCATGTGAAAGCCGCGAGCGGTGTAAACTCTGACTTGCATGCGGCAAGTGACTTCTTGGCGTTCCACTCTGTGGACCGGCTCACGCACGCTCGGCAGGAAAACCGACGGCTGAGCCTCGTTCGTAAACGATGCGACAATTACTTGAGTGACCGGCGCCAGGTGAAACGTTAGCAAGGAAGCTACCTTGCGTTCCTTTCACCGTCTTCCACCCCCCAAAGAGTGCCACTCCAAACCCCACTACTCACCATGTCACTGTAGAAGTGGGCCACGTGCGCTGGCCTCTTCAGGTCGCTCAACGGCGTAACCGGGCTCAGGCTCCTCGTGTGCCAGATGCAGAGGGTGGGACCACCGCCACAGATCTGAAGCAAGGAAGCAGAAACTTGGCCTATTTAACCTTAGAGGGCTACTCTGGCACGGTTTTCGTGGTCTCCGATATACCCCAAAATTGTTTAAACACAAACAAAGCTGAACTTGTAACCCAAATATTAAACTAAAGCAATTTTTTCCTCCAAATCTGTACGAATAGAAACTGCGAGACAGGAGGAGGTGAGAGTGCGTGGGGACGTTGAAACGCCAAACTCTGGTCGGAACGATTAGAGGGTAGACGCAAAGCTAGCTGATTCGTCTCTACTCATCGTTAGAATGCGTTAGAACGCAAACTCCGGTCGCTCATGTTCAATATTCGAACATGTTTAAAGAGTGAGCAAAGGCAAAGGTAGCTAACTTTGCATCCACCAACCAATCGTCCCAACTAAAGCTCGGCGTTTCGACGTCCCCATACTCTCTTGTGTCCTCCTTTCCCCCAATTTCTACCCGTAGAGAATTTTTAATGTGAAAGCAATAACTGTCCCATGGAGCGAGCCAACACCATCAGCCACGCCAAATGGCAGATAAATTCCCGAAGCCGCGATCTGAGGCACCCCCCAGCTCTGAAATCACGCAAAAAGCCATGCACAGTGATGTGATTGGCCTAAGCTGTTTTGGAGAACCTCTTGAAGCAGCCGAAACAGTGTTTTGGAGCAGCGAAAGTGGCCACTGGAGCAGCCAAAACAGTGTTTCGGAGCAGCAAAAGTGGCTTGAAACAAATAAATATTTGTTTCAAGTGCTGAACAAACGAAGGACACTTTGCTTGCCGCAATAAACAAATTATAGTCAAGTTTGAGCACCTGGGAGTCGTTTAACATGTAACTGAAATGCCAATGACATGACACATTTTGCGACGGTACAGTTAAATGATACATATATATGTACCCGCTATAGGTAAATAAGAACCAAAGTGACTAGGGATAAAATAAACGAAAGCAGTCTCCAACTGATAAAACACGTAACTACTGCAGTACAATGCGAAATGGTCACGCGAGCGGAGATGGCTGTTCAATCGAAATAATGTCACTCCGCTCCGCAGCCAACTGGTTCCTAAAATTGTACACAAAATGTAACTGTCCAGCATACGACAAAAACAGCCCAGCGGCATGTGCTTGCCAGGCCGGCAGGCGAGGTACAACCGAAACACACAGAAAAACAAAGAACCTGACCAGATCCATGCACGACATCGAGATCCAGGGTTGGCCAGGGTCAAAAAGTTCTTGGAGCGCTTTGTGCAACGACTCAACTCGAAACAAGCAAGCGCGCTGTGTGGGTTCAGCGTGCAGACATTGCCTTCTTCGCTTGAGCTCACTTCCCTCCACCAACTTTCTTACGCGGCAGACTTTTCACGTACCTGGGTCCCTCTCGAAAGAAAGCGCACCGAGAGAAACCTAGGTAATCAATACTTTGACACAGCAGTCTTTGAGCTAGAGGAATATTTGTAGTAACATATTAAACAAGAACAGGAATGTTGATGAACATGCGGCAGTCCTTACGTTTGAGTTTAAAAAGCGCCATATGTGCAGCGACATGGGGACGGGTACACCCGCTGTTGGGTGTATCTGTCCCCATGTATCTGTCCCCAAAAAAAACTTGGGACAACGAGGGCGCGGAGCGAGACATGGCGGGAAAAACCATGCAAGACCGAATGAACGATATATGCACGGTACTTTATGTCGGGCGGACGCTTGCGCCGCCTAGCCCACGCGTGCTCAATCACGGTACTCAGTTTAGTTTCGGTATAGAAAGGCGACCAAAATTAGTCCTTTGGCACAGATTACCCACATTTTGCAAAAATGTAGTAGTATGTAGCAGGGTTAGCCGCTTGGCGCAGTTTGGCGCAATTGGCGCAGCAATCACATCACTGCATACAAAACGGCAGTAATATCAAGCCGCCGTGCGTCATTTTATATTAGCGCCAGCCCATAATGCTGCGTGCCTGCGCCGGAGCAGTAACGGCCGAAGCGCCCACTGATCCACTCGGCGCCACGGCCGTTTCTGCTCTGGCGCAGGCACGCACCACCGAGAGGATCAGAAGCGGCCGCGGCGCAAAGAACGACATTCATGCTTTCGCATTCACAACTCATGAGAAGTGGTTAGGTGTACCTCAAGCTTAATTTTCTTACTGAGCAATTTTTTCCAATTGAAAGCTTTTATTGGTAATAATGAAGAGGTGAAACCAGTGGCAGGCAGGGATTTACTCTTTGGGCAGTAGAATTTATTTCAAACTCGTTGCAAGTTTGACGGTACAAAATCTATAACTCGGAAGCTCGCTCCAGCCATCGCAAAGCAGTACGAAACAGCTGCACACCATACCGTTTTCTAGACTGTCTGCTCGACCACGAGTGGCATCGCGGCATTGAAAGCACGGGTGTATTTGAATTTTAGTTTTCGCATCGCCTGTCATTTGTTGATTTCACAATAACTGAGCTGAATCTAGAGATTTACTAAATAACATGCCAGAAATTCAGAAAATACTATAGTTAGTTTGAGTACAGCTAAAAAAATGAAAGACGCTTACAATTCTCTGTAATGACGAATTAGAGCGCAGCTCTTGAAGAGGACGAGGGGAGGGTATGTTCCTCCTCCCCCTCCGTATTCTCCCCTCCTCCTCTCCTGCTCCCCTCTCATTTAGCGAGAAATTTTTGCTAAATTTCCCGCTAATTTTCTGCACATTGCATTATGGGACTTTTCTCATAATAACATCACATGTGACGTGACGTGTGATGTCACAAGGGTAAAATTAGTGGGAAAACTTTTAGCTAAATTTGGAGGGAAATTTTTCCACTAAATTTAGCAGGGAAATTTTTCCGCTAAATGTAAATTTTCCCGCTAAACTTAACAGGAAAATTTTACCCTCGTGACGTCACACGTGATGTCATTACAGGAAACATAACGTTATATGATGTCACACCTGACATTACGAGGGTAACATTTCCCCGCTAAATTTAGCAGAAAAATTTTTTGGCGGAAAATTTTCCTGCTAAATTTAGCGGGGAAATTTTACCCTCGTGACGTCACACGTGACGTCACGTGCAGCGTCCTTATGGGAAACCCTCGTTAATGCAATGCGCAGTTACGCCAACGCCACTCAACCCGGAAACGGCCGCCTAAGAGCTGCCGTCTAAAAATCACCAGGGTACCCTTTAAGAGACCATAAAATATTTTTGCTTACTTTCGCTGAATACTGCATCAATATGTAATTGCTGATGTTTGTGACATAAGAGACATGGTCATTTTAGCTGTATGCATAGTTACATGACACAACAAAGAAAACTAAGCAGCAGTAACCTCCATAACTCGTGGTCAGAACAAGCTGTTCTTTCACCATTTTCTGACTGAGGTGATGTAAGTCATCAAGGTGATTCAAGTCAACCACTAAAGCAACACTGACTGTTTTTGGACTAACTAAGAATTGTACATGTTTGTGGCTGATATACTTCCCCGCACGATTCAAGGAAAGTCAATTGCTACGACTCGCAGAAGGTGACAAGCAAATGCAGCCAACACGCCGATTACATTGGAGTTCAAAAGTGTTATCCGTAGTGAGGTTTTGATCATGGAACATGAAGCTTAGCATCCCGACATCCTGTAAACAACTTGGTTTTCCGGAGCTCAATATGTTGTGAATTTTCCGAAGTGTAGGTTTTGGGAATGTTTAGCACCCACAAAATTTTGTGATCTAGAGGGATATGCCATGTGCTCATTACCATAGGCTAATATATTCACATATTAAATTTTTCACAATACTTTTGCAGTTCTAAGAATCACAGAAATTGGGTAGACGTGAAAAATGAGTCGTTTACAATAGGTCACTTTTGGGATCTATGAGTCACGTCTGCCTCATGATCCGATAGGTTTCTCTCGCTCATCCTAATGATCACCGTCCGAGTGCACACACACAGGCACTGTTCACTAAACAGAAAATACAGTCGCCGACCGATTTCTTAGACGCCAATAATTCATACTTAATCAATATTTTGGACCTAAAGGGGGAACTGTGACCTACACGATAGAAATAGTGCATATTCACGACCAATCTTTCGGACAGCTTGAAGTCCGAAAGATTGATTTTTTGAACAAAATCGTTGCGAGCGATCAGCAGCAAATACCACCTAGAAGCGACCATTTTGGACTTTATGTTGGCTGCACATGGCTTGGCTTGGTTTAGCAGCGCTATTTAAATACTGCTGACGCTGTACGGCTTTTTTTTTTATCTTTCTCTAGTAGCACGTCATTATCATCATCATTGTTGTTTCCATTTTGCTTTGTTCATTCGCTATTGCAGTCATGAACCTGCGCCTCTTATCTCGACGAAGCGTGCTTTCGGACAACGCTGGCTTGGACGTCATTGCCCCATCTGTTCTTCCGCCACTGCAATCTGTTGTTAACAAGCGCAGAAAGTAGTTGTCCATAACGCTAAAAAATAAGGCAGCGATTCTCAAGCTAACAGAAAGTTGCCGAACGCAAACAGAGGCGTAACCTAAAACAAGGCACGCAGGCGTAACCTGAAGCAAGGAACTATTTACAACTTTTTAAAGCCCGCTTAGATGTAATAAAGGCAAATTTTTTAATCTGCTGATTTTTCGGGCTGCTCTATCATTCGGACGTTTTTTTGGTCCCTGTGAAGTCCGAAAAATCGGTTGGCGACTGTACACAGTAGATCTGGGTCCCCGTGTTGGATCTTTCCCTTTGTGCAACAAGTTTTGGACGTCTGTCAAATGATTATGGGAATTGCTCCCTACCATGTCTAGAGTAAAAAAAAGAAATGAAAACCAATTTTGACCGTGTGCACTGGTTCTTTTTAATGCGAAAGCATTAGTCTGGTCTCATGGTCTCATGGCAAGCACTGGTCTCATGGAGCGAGCTGACGTCAGTTTGAAGCGCGAAAACAGCTCCTAGTTTTCGCGATTTTGCCTTCGGCACCATTGGCTGGCGCGCGTCAACGGGGCTCACATTGACAGTGGTGTGAATGATCAGAGTCATTTTGGAG